TTGTATCCATATAAATGGCCCACCCTGTACATCTTTTTTGTGGGAAATGTTTATTTAGTGAAATCAGTCACATATGCCTAGAGAGCAGTCTGCTAACCCAGTATTTACCTGGTGACCAGTATTCCCCAACTAGTTTGCAAGTGGTTGCTGGAGTTTGTTGAACGTTAGTGTTTATGTGACACCAAAAACCTCTTTGTAATTGCTTGGGTAGCTAGCATATTGCTGCTGTCACTGTAATTTGCATAGATTAATCCATGGGCCTTTAGTAACTGAGTTCACAGTGACTGCCAGCAACTTACCACTTACCATCCAGTTGTGGAATACATGTTTCTCTGGCGATCAGTGGTTTCCAGATAGTCCCCAACCAGTGCCTCGACCTGTGTGGCTCTTTCTTTCTTTCTTTTTTTAAAGCATAAGGATAGCATAGTGGTTAGAACTGTTGCCTCACAGCAAGAAGGTCCTGAGTTTCCACTTCCACCATCAGGCCAGGGCCATGCATGGAGTTTGCATGTTCTCCCCGTGTTTGCATGGGTTCTCTCCGGGTACTCCTGCTTCCTCCCACAGTCCAAAGACATGCAGTTAGTGGGGATAGGTTAATTGGTAACTCAAAATGGCCCATGGTTGTCTGTCTCTGTATGTTGGTCCAGGTTGTACCTACTAAGACAACTGGGATAGGCTTCAGACCCCCATCACGCCCCTGACAAGGATAAGTGGAAGAGAATGAATGGTTTTTGTTTTTTTTTTGGGGGGGGGTTAGGTAACGAATGACATTTACATGTAATGGATACTTTGCTGAGAAATGGTCTAGTGTATATAGCATATGTAACTAGACCATTTCTAACTAAGTCATTTTCCCCCTCTGTCTGCAGTGGTGCCAGTCCTGTCGGTCTAGTTCTTACTGCCATAGTGGCCTTGGCATACAAGGTGGCAATAAGCTTTGAAGGGTAAGTCTTTCTAAATCTCTCATTTGTCATTAAATCACATTTGTTGTTAAAATCCTTTATATATGGGTTTAGTGAGGGCAACATGTGACAACTGAAAATAACCTTAAATAATAACTGTAGGTTACAGCCCCCAGAAATGCTCGCTACAAATGCGGTCTTATAAAATCAAAAAAAGCAACAAGAGTCAAAGAGATCCAAGAGCCCTAACATTTAGCAACATCTAAAATACCTGTAACAGTAATTTACTGACCATACAAAAGAAATAAGAAAATAAAGATGTGCAAATACACTGACTTGATTCACCAGTTATAAAACAAAAACAAAAACTGCAGCTGTAGTGGCTAGAAGGTGGAGGAGGGAAGAAAACAACTTCCTGCTCCCTTTTTTTATTGGTTTCCAGCTCATTAAACCAAACTAGAGACACCTGGAGGAAAAAAGCAGAGACTTATGAGTCATGGGCCCTAGACTTTAATATGCAGATAACCAGAAGGAGGAGAGGACATGGATCAAAAAACCTTTCTGGTCAAAAAATGAAGGCTGAATGATAATGTGAAAAATATGCAAATAAACTTAAGTATTGTTTCAGCACAGACTTATTCAGCAGTCAACCTGCATCTGCTGAGTCACACAGATTATAACACAGGATCCTGAAGGTCTGGTGTTATTACTCATGACACGTGTCACATCAGCAGCTTTTAGAAAAGACTGAAAATTACATTTGTTGATTAAAAACAAGAATCAGCAACATATGGGATCAGTGTTGGTCAAGTTACTTGAAAAAAGTAATCAGTAACTAATTACTGATTACTTCCC